AGTGTGTGACGCTCAACGATAATAATAATTAGGCGTATGGTAACAGGAGTCTGTGGTTATGATAACAATTGAGGCGTGAATGATAACAAAGTAGATTACGCAGTATGTGGAGTGTTCGACTTCAATTATCATCACAATCACAAATGTCTTTGTCATCATCCCTCCTATTATTATTGACGTCATCATCAATATAGTGTTTAGCTTTCTTCGCAGGATATAATTTTTAAAATATGGTATGTATACGATGGTATAGCTTGAAAATAAATTCGTTGAGATACCGAGATGCATACTCCTTCTACCGGATTCTCAACTTTTTTCAAGTCACTGTGTCCGAAAATTCACATATTTTGCCAAAGAATCCGGGAACAAGCTAGAAGGTATGTGAATGCATTTCTTAATTCCCTATAAATACAAATTTTTCCGCATCCACAGTTTCTTCATATGGTTTGCAGTGAACATTTGACCGCGTAAATTAGTCAGGGCAAGCTTGCAGCCACCAGAATTGGCGGGTTTTCCTGTAGCCTGTTGACCCAGTGTTGCAGATGTGGGTCGGGGAAGCGGGAGAGTTAAGGTTTTGCGGTGACTCCATGAGTCCCGAACGGAAAAAGGAACCCCAAGACATCAAGCAATAACTCAGTGAGGATGAATTTATATTTCATATGAAAGACCAATGACGACTGACCATAACTCACGAGGTGACGCCGTTTGAAAATTGAAACAAGAAAGTGGACGAGAAAGGCCCTGAAACCTGATAGTGACTGCAATCGATTCATGGGCAAACAGGAAAAGCTCGAAATATAGTATCTTGGACCGAACTTCCCCCAGTAGGAATCCCAATTTGAACTAGCTATTTAAACGCGGTTTGAATAACATCGTGCCTTGTTCACTTTCAATCTAGAGGCAATACCATGGTGCTTATCACCGAAAAACAGCTGTCAACCATATCGTAACAGTGAACGCGATTCAGCTAATCAGATGGACGCCAGAATCGCTACTTACAACGATGCGGTTATCTTCTCAACTCGGAAGTACTCCCCGATGGTGATTCGTAGCCGTCTGGACCGCTCGAACGCCATAGTTGTTGGCTGTCTTCGGGGACCATTCACCAAGAAATATCTTTCTTGGTCTTTATATGCCCACCTGGAGTATTCGGTCAAAGAAACCAAGTACGAAGGTCCTGTTGGTAAGCTATCTACTTAACGCTTTACTCACCTGTTCATTTAAATTGTTTGTGTATTAAATCACTTAACTATAATGGTACAAAAAACCGAACCACAAGCCCTTAATCCTGCAACGAGGCCCGCAGACGGACAGAATCTAGTCTGCACAGATGGTGCAGCAATACCCCCCACCCACAGCACTGTCACACCAGGCACAGCACTTGTCAAAGCCGGCAAACCCCTGTAGTTAGGGCGACGGTGACACGTCCCCAACCATACCTTTGGTGAAAAAACGTGGGGGAAATGCGCCACGTTTGACCTCACCCTACAGAAAGCAAACCACTCAGCCGTCAACAGGGAGTAAACCCCTGACGACTGTGGTGATTGCAGAGAATCGGGGTCAGGGGCCCATATAGCCTTTGCGTGCAACACCTGCCTTATACGGGTGCACTGTAACTGTGATAACGGTTCACCAGGGCAGTACCATGGCTTTACGAGGAAGTACCCGTGTAAGTGGATGTGGTATGTATTCACAGAGTGTCGGAAATCACCTGCTATCGCCGCTGGCGAACTGGAGAACCTGGTACAGCCAAACACGTTACGAAGCACGAGCTCCAGTAGTGTGCCCTCAGAAAGTGACCAAACTCTACAGCTGTGAAGGGTGCCACGTCTAGAGATGGGAAGGAATTGACTTCCACTTCAAGTGAGACACCAAAAGCATCCTCGCTTGTATCGCTGCAACCCGGATGATTCAAAGGAACAAAACAACCTGAGGATGTAGGTTGCGCTGAGAACGAACGGACGGAAGTGAATGGGGTAAAGGACGGACCGATAGCACTGGCTACCAAGCCCAACAGTCCGCACTCACAGGATAAGTGAATGGATTCCATCATTCTGTTCAACACCCCTATACCAAAAGGCTCGCTCCTAGAGGAAAGGGAACGGCCTGACAAGGGAAAGTGGGGCGGCTACTGCAGAAAGTTGGGAGTGGAAAGCGTCACAGCCAATTTATACCGGCTCTCCCGAGGAATTGGAGCACCTCGAGACAAGCCACCACCACTCAGGGTGTCAGTAGTGACAGCGAAAATATCGGGAAACATGCTGCTGTCGCGCCAACCAGACCTACAGACTCCTACTCCTTAAGGGTGAAACTAGCCAAACCTTGGGTCACCAGGGAGATGTAAAGGAAGTCCTCACCTAGTGATCTGCACAACGCCGCAACCCTAGTGGTTCATATAATACCCGAACTGATAGATGGATCCATAAAGTGTGATAATTACCTCCGTGACGTCGAGCTATGGGGAAGGCCAGCGGCAAAAATGGGATTTGAAAATCTGCCTGCCGGCGGTGTAAGTAGGTTACCAAGACCTACGCACCTGCGGAGCATTTCTTCACCAAGATTACCAGCTGTAGGCTTTGACTGCAAAGCATCAGTAACAGTAGCCCTCATATTATGGTACCGTGTAAAACACCACATAGGAGGCACCATACGATGCTGTGAGGGTAAACTACGAGCTACCAGGCTAGAAGATAGGAGGCAACCTACGAGAACACCACAGACAGTACTAATCAGAAATGAACAAGCAAGTAAACTGCCTGTAGGCACAATAAACAATACCACCATACCAGCAGCAGGATGCTAAGAGGGACTGAAAAACGCAGGCCTCCCAGTCCGGTAGGGACTGGCAGCCAAAATCCGATGAAATGGCACTTTGGCCTCCAGACAAGTCCCCATATCTCACTAAGCCCAGAACGTAGCTCCTTGATATGCTTCTACGGCAATGTGAGAGGTCTTAGGAGTAAACTGCTGGAGCTAAAAACAATGTACCATAATCTGCAAGCAGATATAATTCTCATCACGGAGACATGGCTGTCAGCGGACATCATGGATAAGGAAGTATCTTTGCCCAACATGATACTGTTCCGAAAAGACAGGCAGTTCAGTGAGAAAGGGGGAGTTGCCATGCGTATTAGCACTCACCCAAAAGTTAAGGAAGCGACTAATGGTGCTATTTCACCTTAAACCAAACCAAGTACCCAATAGGAATGGTATATAGGCCTCCCCACTGTACAACAGAGCATAAGGTATAATTGCTAAGTCCCATTTTGACAACCACCTCGGCAGCTTATGACCATGTAGTCCCAGGTGGAGACTGTAACACACCAGCACTCAACCTGAGACGTGAAGATATAGGCATAAATCTTTCGAATACAAACTTCGAAATATGGTTATCGCAGCTGGACTGATAGGGTAGGTTGGGGAAGACACCAGATAGGGACCAAAGGGAAAAGGATCATCACTCGACTACGTTCCAACAGACGATGATCTTTTGGTGGACAATATCTGTGTCCAACCCCCCTAGGTAAAAGCGACCACGCCTTGGTGAGATTCTTTCTGACAACCCAGGAGATGCTACCAGTAGTTGAGCTAGAAGTGTTCCGCTGTTACAGAAAAGCAGGCTATCATCTCATGAACAACGAAGTCTTGGATACTGCATGGCCACGAGAATGGAATTCACCATCGACAGACGAACATCGGATATATATTAAAGATATTATCTGGAGCGCTATCAACAAAAGTGTTCCGAAATTAACCAGACGGCCACCTCCCGAACAGCCTCGCGCAACCGAACAAAAAGAACCGAACCTAAAGACCTGGAAGCGAGAGCTCAAAAACTACAAGTTTCCTCTACTCGCACTATCGATGCTGGATGTTGGATCTCGGAAGTGCCTGACTGAAGGTGATATTATCACTGTGACAGCTGTGGATAAATTCACAAAAGCATACACATATTTGTACCACATGTGCTACAATCTAGGAAGAAAGAGCACAAATTCTAGCCATCGCCGGATAATCTCAAGGGTGTGTCTCCTGTGAGATGCAAGTCTATGCTTCCCCTGAAAACACACACTTTTCAGATGTCTTAAACAACTCTGAACATCGACTACGATACTTACAGAATCGTAGAAGTAACACTTTAGTAAATGTCTTTGTGCGAACCTGACAGACTCAGACACCAGTCACTAATTATTCGTACTTGTAACGCAACTATGAGCAAGAGACAAAGGGAGAACAAGAGAGCATAGCCAAATGAAATAATATATTTTCGAGGTCGTCCAAAATAGTGACGCTTTTCAAGTAGCTGGTTAGAGGGTCTATTGAGAGCAGTGCAACGTGACACGACAGGGCACTGAACGGCCTGGACGCCTGACCATATACCTTCAGCCTAGTGATTCCGATACAACCATGAGGGTCGGCAGCAAGCTGAATCTCTCCGAACCCTAAGCCATTGATTCTGGAGAAGTATGTGATGCTACAACAATCTTGGAGGCTACACACAGAAAAAGCCTAGAACGTGGCAGATTAAGTTTCAGACACAAATCCTACTCCCTGAGAGATGTTTAGTTATGAAACACTTCTTGCGTAAGTGATAAGGGCCATTTCTTTCGAGTTCTATGAAAAGCAAACTGACACGTGCTTAAGGTGTGGATGAGAGCTCACTCAAAACTAGCTTGAGTTTCGAACTTTAACCCCCAACTTTTTCCCCGTTTCTGTCTATATACGAGAAAACAACCACTGAACCGAGTGATCCGCTGATTCTAGAAGCGGGAGCCAGCTAGGTGTAAGTTTCTTATACTCCGTCAACAACGTCCAGAACAACTAAATCTAACCGACCTTCTGGAGCACGGTGAGTTAGCCAGAGATACAGACTAAGATTAATTCAGTATGACGGATCAAGATGCTTAATTAGCCAATTAACATCCAAAACCATCAAGAACAGAGAAAAATGAACCTAATAGCCTATGCTACACTTTGAAGAAGCCATTGGCTATTGAAATGTCTCACAGTACCTAGTGCACTTAAAGATAGCTGAAGGCCACTCAGTACATTTCGATATTTGCATAAGCATGGGCGCTTACATGTCAAAGCCGAATGTAGACAAAGTTACTGATACTGGAGCGAACAAATGGATATCTTACAGTTCTTGCTCTATGCAGGGTTGGAGGATGCACCAAGAAGTAAGACTACATTTGTAATTGTCGAGAGAAGCAAAGTTAAGGTTGTTTGCAATACGTTTCTTTTCTAGGGTAAAACGACATAAGAATACCATTGTTAGATCTGTCTAAATTAAAGATTCTGACAGTAACTTAGTGGGTCGTGCGTTATGTGCTTTTAAGATGTTAGGACAGGGTTTTCAAAACCAAGTAGAGAATCTGTGGTCCGTATTAGTCCTGTGGAGTGTAGATGTTATATGTTTACTTTCGTTCCCCTTGTGTGCTGCTATACAAAATTTCAAATCTGAGAAAATACTAGAAACGATGTTTCGAGCTTTGGTACTCGCCTTTACCATCTAACCTTTTCGGCCAGGCCACCGCCCCCTATCTACGATGTGTTGCTTGTGCTAAGCCACTGCCTATCTCAACGTGCAATGTTGAACGAAGTAGGACCGAGTTCAAAGAGTGGTTAGGTCAGAACGTGGCACTAGTCCATGAAGTCTTAAACTTCATTTATGGAGGTGTTAGCTGTATGGTTGGGATATAGTGAGTAGAAATCCAAAGGCTGGGAACTTTGCGATATGGCTTGGAATGTCGTAAAAGAATCATCTTTGTTTATGTTAACCCTTATCCATTTTCGCTCTATTGTTTTACGCTCTCATGTCATCCATTTTCCGTCTTCTCTTTGCATAGTGCTTCAAAGTGTCGTTACTTAAACTAGTGCATTTCTACCTTAGTGTGTTTACCAATCTGAAAATTACCACTGTGATGTTCAGCCTTATCGATTAATTTTGTCTTTAACTCTCTGAATGTTTGATTCACAGTCATGGTGAGCTACAGTAAATTGGCTATGGTTTTCCTTACTGATGACAATGATGGTTACATGCTGCATAAATCATTGATCTTAACAGAACTGCCTTTCTGGACTATTTCTAAATTAACTTCCATTTGTGACAACTAGTCCCATCTAAATATCACTTGCTGAAATTGGTTAGGTGTTTGCTGCGCCATCAAAATAAGATAACATTATTGATTTGAGGTGCTAAGTTTAACAATAGCTTCACGAAGCCATGAAGCAAAACTGAAAATGCCCATTGTAAGACAAGTATGTACGATATGGTGATAAGTTCTAAGCCAGTTGCACCTTGCGCGTAGTTCTAGCTCTTGCTATTATAATTCCTAGTTTCAAGCTCTGGTCGCAAACAGCTCAACCAGCGGTAGTGTTCACATTAAACTCACATGTCTAAGTAGTTCATTTACCTTCCTCCCTCTTCATAATAGTTTGTAGGCTTACACAGTTTCAAGTTAGGTGTACAAGAAAAGGTAATAGCTAAAGTGTTCTTGCTGACATGCTGTAACTTTTCGCTGATATCAGTACCAACTAGTTAGTTGGTAAATTTGAAATTTCCTAACCTCTGGATCGAAATATGTATTCGAGTATGCTTGAATACAATCACGTGTATGTACATAGTGTCTAAAAATTGACAGGAATGTAAGATCGCTATGCGAAATACAGTAGATTTTCCAATGAGGTTGAAATAATAATTAGATTGTTGTTGGTTGGGATATTTGTGCGTTGTCTTTAGCAGTTTTGACCATTCTCTGATTTATTCAGGTGCTGCCGTAGTGTGTTCCTTTCACTTATCTTCTACCTCTTCTAATTATTACGGAAACTTTATATGTACTAGATAGAACTATGTGGCACTGCTTACAAATATGCTTACGTCCAAAGTAAACTCATCCAAACAGTACAGAAGGGGGAAACCAAAATTAAAAAGAGATGTCAGACAGAGGAAAAAGGCAAAAAGACTTGAGAAAAATCACAAGAAATTGAAGATTTTGGGAAAGGTGAGTCGGTTACGGTTAGTTTTGAGTTGTCATTCAGGGTCTCTAGTGAGTTACGCCTATGGTCCATTGGTTAGGAACGAAAACCGTGCAGGCATGGAAATGCGGTAAAACAAGATATGGCAACACCTTAACTATGAGCTGAAAATGACATGCGCTGATCGATAAAAGTATAAGGTAATGAAACTTGAATGGTTGGAAAAAAGTTACTGTAATAGGTGGTAAGCTGGTTTCAAGATTCACTTAAAGTATTGGTTTATGATGGTTGCGAAACTTCTTGAATAGGTGGTTTAAGGCTAAGTGATATCGTAAAACCGATCAGTAACATGGGTGTATGCTTTATCTTCATTTAAATCGTCTTCCTCTGTTCGTTTTATGAGTTTTCCTATTTGACGTATGGTTTTAATGGCAACTGGTTTTGTTATTATCTCCACCTTACCTCTCATGGACTTTCATCTCATCATGTTTCTGTGCAGTAAAGTAATATAGGCTGGTACGCACTGGTGCCAATTCTTGTTTTTATTGACGTTTCAACTTCAAGGTAGCCTCACGGGAATCTGAATCCTGAGGCTTATATGAAAAAAACACTTGTATTAGTTGTGTAGCCATAGTTTATGTTGTCAATCATTGCATTACTTCAACCTTTTTAGAGCACTCAACTCGCTTATTCCATCTTATCAAAGTTCACACTAATTTCAAGGGGGTGTCACTTTGTAACTCCACATTTCTCTTGTAGTAAACGAAAAACCTTTTGAAATGTTTATCATCAACTTTATCCATAAGAAATTTCTTTTGGATAGAGATTAGGATGACGGACTAACTTGATTCCTCTTAGCTATTTCAAATAGTTTTTAACCACGTATTGTGTGCTAAGTAGATACAGTAAACAACAAAGTTAGTTGCTGTCCAGTGACAGCCACTGGCCTCGACTCAGCGGTGGACACTGATAGATTGTATTACTATCACATCGCTAGAGAGGGTCAGTGAAAGATTCCCACTCCTTCTGGAGCACGCGTATATTTGCGCCTAAATGGACGTAGAAAAGCAATAGCGACCAGACCATTGTGAGTGTAGTTCTACTGTGAGAGCAGTAAAGATACTTCCAGCAGGGAACTGTCTAGACAGTTATAAGGACAGAACAACATCCATTAGGAGCCTAGTACCATCTATACTGTGTCGTATAAACAGCGTTAGAGACCGTAGCCAACTTTTAGAATGGTTAAAAAGTGCCAGTGGGTTTCAGCAACCTCTGAATTAATGGATCCACACAAACGCATCTCTATAGGCTACCAACACAAAGAGGAGCGAAAGGAACTCAAAGGCAGACTTGCAAGAAGTCTACGTAATGAGAATAAGCAGTGGCGGGTAGCGAAAACTGAAGAGATGGAAAGAGCAGCAGCGATTGGTAACAGCAGATAGCTACTTAGATTTATCCAGAAAACCGAGGCCATAATTTCAGTGGCTAATGAGAATATAGCGAAGGATGATGGGTGTGATTCTCTCGTACAGAAGAAAACCGGAACTATGGCCCAACATTTCGAGCAGAACAAATACGCAGTGCATTCAGCAACCTTGTGCACACTCATGCAGCAAACAGCAGACCACACCTATTGTGTAAGGGCTAACGATACTATCTGATTGCTCCAACTTTGGTAGGTGGAGCGGTGTTCGGACTTGTGACTTACTAGTTGGAAGTCATCTCCATAAACCTATGAGACACAGCTCTACAATATTTCGAGAAACAGCTTAACTGGCTTTCAGCTATTATTTGGTTGCCCGAGTTCTAGTTGAATCCTGAGTGGAACATTGAGATTGTAGCCCTAACGCTCACAGAAGTCGAGAAAGCTGTAAGTCATCTGAAACGTGGAAGAGCAGCATAACCATGCGGGCTAGTACCAGAGGTATTTCAGGACGGTGGTAGATTATTGGTCATACTAACTAGTGTATAGGAGAGATATAATCGCCTCTGGCTGGTCTCAACTACTAAGTGTCCCAGTCTTCAAGAAAGATGAAAAGTCACCTTATGATAACCACAGAGGAATCAGCCTGACAAATATTGTGTCAAAGATTCTAGGTTCTTCACTTATTTGACGTTTAGATGCAGCTCGAAAACAGCAAACCGGAGAAATCTAGATAGGTTTTAGACATCGCCGTGAGTATATCAATCAGATATTCACCCTCTGCTAGGTTCTGAAAAGTAGGCACACTTACCAACGCTGACACTGACTACTTCTTGACTTAAAGGTGCCACTTGACTCCGTCGACCAAGAGATCTTATAACAGTGTCTCTCACTGAAAGGAGTGGCGAGTATATACACCACTCTATTTAAGTCTGTGTACTCGAATATCTGTTGACGTGTTAGAGCTTATGGTGCGTCATCGAATGAGTTGTGTACATTTTGTGGAGTTACACAAATATACCTACTCCCTCCATTCTCATTCAACTTTATCGTAGACGTATTTATGGAGGTCTGCCTCTCGTTATCTGACTTCACAAGGATTGATCTTGTTACAGGAAAATCCTTGGTAGATCTAGAGTATTCAGATGATATAGTCATGTTAGGTGAGGACGCTGACAAGACTCAGAGTCTTCTGAACATTTTGAGTGACAACTTGAGATTGCTTGGGTTGCGAGAAATGCAAATTGTTGCTCCAAAACTGATATTCGTATGTGACCCGCTTTAGAATCGAGAGTGAAGTGGTTGAGCGTGTTGATCACTTTGCCTACCTGGGAAATCGAATCAGCCCTGGTGGATCAGTGGCCGACAAAATTTCTGAATGGATGCAAAAGACTATCGCCAGCTCGCGCCGTTGATGGCGCCACCTTGATATCCGAATGCCTGTTAAGCGTCGAGTGTATTGCGCTATAGTTCGCTCTGTTTTTAATATATAACTAGAACTTGGCCATTAAATGTAGACTATATGAGAAGGCTTCAGGTATTTGACCACCGTTACCTCCGTACCATAGGCCGTGTGTTGTTATGTTCCATGTCACTAATGTGGAAATCAGGTGTAGAGTTTTAGGGAGAGAAGAATGTCAGTTAGTGAGGTTATTAACTAACATTGGCTCAGGTGACGGGCATATGTTGCGCATGCCTAGTCACCCTTTGCCTCGTCCCACAATATTCACTTAAGTAGGTTTAGACTAAAATAACTTTAGGAGGAGCCGAACTAAGATATGACATCTTTGCATGAAGTGTTTGACAGTTGCTTTGAGAAATGTAGGGACACGTAGACTTGTCGGTTTGGGTTCGAGTGACAGCAGAGACTAGTGTTTGAAGACTTTAGTTAATATGACTCTAGATCGATGTCAATGACGAAGATGTATCCACACATTATCTTCATTGTAATCATCATGCTGAATTCCCCGTCCTTACCCCACCTTCCTCTTTTTATTGTTTCTTACTTTTTCTTCTGTCATCTTATTGCTTTCTCATTTGATGGGCTGATATAAGATGTGGCAACTTGGGCTGTTGTGTTATAATGCTTGATCCTGTGTTGATAGTGATGACTCTCCAGTAAAAAATCAATATACCTAATCCACTCGCACGGGAGATCATTCATGACCCTAATAGTTCAGTGTTAACATCTCTGATTTCAGTACTGAGCGACGCGTGTTTGAATCTCTAAAGAAATTCTATCGAGGTTGTAAAAACAGCGTGCTAACTTACGCCGACAAGCACGAAACCTAAACCAAGCAGGGTTTCCCACCAATTTCCTCCATCCAACTAACATCTAGCAAAGTGCGCCGTGCTTAGTGCCCCAGCTTGGTGACTACATCGCAGAATGATCAGTACGATTCGATCAGCACCAGATAACATGAAATTGGATACCTGCTCTTCAGAAACCAATCAACGCAAATTATTTAACCAGCAGTGGTTGTAGAATTGCATATCCTTCCCCATAAGAATTATTGGACTAGATGTCTGCAAGACTGAGAAAAACCACTGTGGTGACAATTGTACGAAAGACAAAGAAATCAATGTAACACCTCACAGGAGTGTTGTAGTCCTAGTTTCCATACTTCTCAATATCCTAGAGAACTGCACTGTCGTAATTCAGTCTAGGAAGTTGGGAAAGAATATAATATGAGAATCCCGCCCAATATGAGAGCACCAAAATGCATAACTTCAAGATTGGTAGATTAAGATTTTCAAGTAACTTTTGTGGTTGCTTAGGTATCTCGAGACCTTACAATTCTCTACGCTTTACGTTGTACGCAAACAAATTAAATTTTGATGTGAAGCAGTAGTCACATACTCAAAAGGGTATTTCTTGCAGTGAACTGGACCGTTAACTAGTGATACTTCAGTTGAATACTGTAGTAATGCGTATCCACCAGGTACCTAAACATTATCGGTAAAGCTGTGACTCACTAATCTAGGTAGTCGATTTTCATCAAATTGCTCACGCGTTCAAATCGCGCTTAACTTACCGAGATGTAAGCAACCAGGTAGGGTTGTAGCCTGTAATAATATGTGGTTCATAATCCAGTGCACGAACCTCAAGCAGCCTGCACGTTGACGTCTAAAATTTTGTTCAAAATTCTGATGTTGAGAGCTAAGGACAGACGGTCTCTGTTGATGGAAGAAATAGTACATTGACACTTGCTAAGTTGATTAAAACTAAAAGCCCACCAACACATCAATTTATAAATCCGTATAAGCTTGGAGTTGAGATATAGGGTAAAAGTGGCTCATTGGTTCATGCATTTGGCTCCCAACCAGGGTGTTTCGGGTTCGAGCGCAACTCCATTCACTTACCGAGGCTTGGGGAGTCAGGTAGTATCATCAGCCCGCACACAATAGGTTTGCCTACTGCACGAATGTGCGCAAAGTTGCTGAATGCATTGCAATTTTTTTCTATGAGATATTGAGTTATCCGTCATAGCTTTGATATGCCTTTTAAGTGTCAAAGATGGATTTAATCATCATGAAACTGAAAGCATGATCATCGCTCACTATTGAGGACTAACCTACCTGCTGAAATGTGACAGCTCCTTATAGCTTGGTAGGAACCTTGAAAGTCATACTTCAGCCACTTTATTTATCACTTTACAACTAGTAATGATGGGCAGTGGAATCGGTCCAATCAACAACGGTATCATACAAGCAATAACAGTTTACAACTAGGCTGAAGTTCTTCATCTCCTAGACACCCAGTACTTTTCACGTACCCTGACGCTCTAAAAGATGAAACTTGAATTATTTTCATACTTGTGTTTCCTTGCATCATCGCTGGACCATTTTTTATGACCGATTGGCGTGCACACTAAATATATTTGTTAGCGATTTGTCTCAAAGGTTTTTATTTATTCATTTGTTACTAGGATGCTCACAATTGCATTCCCGATTTTGATTCTTCACATGGGGTGTCATTTTTTGCGGTTTATGATGGTCATGGTGGGTCGGAAGTGGCGCGATATTGTGCAGAGCATATGCCTAATTTCTTGACCAAACTTCCTGCCTATGGTGAACTGGATATGAAAAAAGCTTTGAAGCAGTTATTCCTCGACTTCGATGCTACACTAGTCACTCCTGAGACGAGAGCTGTTTTGAATGCTATGTCGGAAACGGACAAAGGCGACAGTTCATCAGAAAAGGAATCATTTGTTCGAATTCACTATGTAAGCAAATTGAGTTGTTACATTAACCAATATTTAGACTGCTGATGATAATGAAGACGATGATGAGGAGGATGAGAGTTATTCAGAACTTCTGGCTTTACGGGCTGAAGCGAACGAACCATTGGAGCAGGTTTTAGAAAAATATGGCGGAGAGGATGCTTTACCCTCTACCATAAAGGTAACATCGATATGTCAAAGCACTTTTAGCTATATATATATATATATATATATATATATATATATATATATATATATATATATATATATATATATATATATATATATATATATATATATATATATAACCCATTGTCACCTAAACCCATTCTGTTACAAGTTTGAAACTCACATCACTTGCGACATTTTAGGTAGCTGATTATTATCAACTACCTTCACTTAATATACATGACTCAGTCTATTACAAAAAGGCTACACGCTGTTACTATACAATAGTACCAGTACAAACAGTACAGCATAAACACCAAGAAATGCACCATTGAGACAAGTTTTTCATCTTGCCTGTGTAAAATGATGCTTCGGAGTTAGTCTGCAGCTACTCCGAGTTTACGGATGAGTAGTGAATTGATAAAACAAGTTGACCACTTTAATTGGAAATTTGCACCAGCTTAAATCGTTTTGTTGCCGTCGAAATCCAAGCTTCGATACAGGAAGTACCATAAATATATGCCCGATTACGTCATCTCTGCACCAGCGAGATATCCGAATACCCATTAAAGGAGAGTATACTGGGCTGCACACTTCGTTTTCCAATTATTCGGCTCTTAGATATGACCGTTGAGAGTAGGTACAAAGACACTACGAGTTTTTGATCGAAAGTATCATAGAACTGGTAGCATATGGTGGGATCAATATATAAGGAGTAATGGGTTAGATGTAGGGTATTAGCAAGGAAGTCAGGCATGGGGGTTGTGAACGTTCACTGACTGAGATGGTTCAGTCACGTGTTATGAATCGATGTGCGATGTTAGCCGAAGTAGGATTGCATTGTAAAAAAGCTTGCAGCTGACCAGACTAATTCGTGGCACCAGTCAATCAAGTCCTTGATAGTTGTTCTGAACCGTAAAGGGGGTATAAGCTGATGGCTTTTGTCCTCGAGGTGATAGGAAGTAACAGTTAGTTACATGGTTACAAATGGGTCGTAATTACACAGATATGTATACTCCTAGACATTATCGAACATTTAAAAATTTCTACTAGCTTTTGTTTGTTTATTTTTTCTCTTATACACTTTTGTCTACTTTGATATCAGCCTTTTTCGATAAGCGTTTTCTTTCCATGTTGCTGTGAGGCGTGGCAACTTGGAGTGATACACTTGTTTGCAAGGTTCCATGTTGATTTATGTGTGTCTTCTTCTTCTTCTTCTTAATATTGTTTTTGAGTCGAATTCTAACCGATAATCATTCACTGATATGCTGATGGTTAGAAGGGTATGATCACAAGATTTCCTGTGTATATCTTGTGAATATTTTTAAAGCTTATCTAATCATCCATCATACATGGTTTTCGTCATACATCGTTTAACCACCGGCATGTCTGTTCACGACAGCGAAGGCAATAAAGAAGTCTGTTCTGCCTTATAACGTGTCTTCGGTGTATACATTCCATGATGAAAGTTTTATTGTCTAAATTTTTGAATTCTTCATTATTACCTGATAGTGAACTCCTATTACATCAATTACAGCATGGTTTTACATTGACTTCTAATGAAGAATAATTGTTTAGTCCTATAATTATTATTCTACACTTGTAGAGCATATTGGATACTCGACGTCAGAAGAAAGTTGGTGAATGTAGCCATAGTCCTTACAAACCTACAAATACTGTTCCAATTACTTCATCAGAAGTAGATTCTCTGTCTAACAAAACAGATTCTTCCAGTGTTGCTGAATCATCTAGTACTGAGATTGTTGAAGCTGAAAAGTATGTTTACCCTTTCTTCAACTTGAGTTATAGTTTGATGCAGATTAACCTTTTTCACGTGTTATTTATCAGCAAAGAAATTTAGTAACCGTTGTCGTATAAATCTAAAAATTAAAATCCCTAGAATCACTTCCATCAATAATTACTTATTTATTGCTTGTAAAACCTTTGATGGTGAGCATTACGATTCTGAAATAATGGAGAATATTTGTAGCTCAGGTGGGTAGTCTTGGTTGTATTGTGTTCTCTGAACTGGCTGGGTTGTTTAATCGTGAAGCTTTTATCGTCTTGCTAGACGATGAAAGCTTCACGATTAAACAACCCAGCCAGTTCAGAGAACACAATACAACCATTACGATTCTGTTCATCGCGTGATTTATAATTCTTATTATGTTTTCTTAACATATATTCAGTAATCTCCACGAACTTATTCATAGATAGTGTAGATGTTGGTTATTGACTTCGACTTTCAACTATCAACCATTGGTTTCCAGATTTAAACACAGTTTCACCTACTTCGACCTAAACAATTGAGTAATAGTATTATCAACTCAAATATGTAAAGTTCTCCTCATTGTTTAGCATATAAAACTGAATCAAATGGCTGTAGTTGATTTCTTAGAGTTCATGCAGTACAAAGGTGTTTATGTAAATTATGTAGTAAGTTAATTTTGCTTAATGCATCATACTAATCATTAAAAATAAAACTGTTATCCTAAACTTTGGGATTATCTTTCCAACAACTGATGATTCAGATAAGTCGAATGTGAATGGTTTCCTGGAAATTAAAACTACTTTAATTTTATTTGCTTTAGGGGTATCTCTTAGAGCGGTAAAGATTCTTTACACTTGTATACAAGTGTTGCATTTTGATAGAAATACTTGATGAGAAAGTAGTTTTTACTCATCGATTAACTCTGTATATATGAAAATTAAAATGCTCTCAGTAGCCTTGTACACATTCATGCAGTAGGCAATAGCCCACACTTATTGTATAAAGCTTAATGACACTATCAACTTATTATTCAAACCTTGGTAACGGAGCTCGAATCCGTGACCCATCGCTTAAAAGTCATTTCCCTAAACCAATGAGTTTACAGCTCCATTTGTATATACAAATATATGTTCCACTCACTGATATTTTTTAATGATTTCAGGTCATCTTATTCCCATTTTACATCAGTCATATATTCATTCACCTTACTTTTATCAGCATCAATATCAGAAACTAAGTTGGTATCATCATCATCACGAGTGTATTAATGATTGTTTTGTTCAAAGGTTCAACTCTTCTATTGTTTCTATGACACGATGTAGGTGATAAGTTTCAATAGAGACACTGTATTATTGTACCAGTACTTCGTTATTATCTTCCGGTGGCTTGTAGTCAGTGATTTCAAGAGTAACATAGTCGGTCCTATTATTTTGGATTAAGTCTCACAGACCAGTGATTCCCCCGATTGGTCATTTAACTCGTTCAAAACTGAGCTTAGTTCAAACCGTCCAAACTATCTGGCAATCGATCAGCTAATTGGTTGACTCATGAATCCTAGAATCAAAGCAAGTTTGTGTGTGAAATTTCCTGTGCATGCGGAGAACAACACAACCACGTGTCATCCAACTTTAACGTTTCACCGAGCTACTGAAATAACCATTCAGTGTTTAGACAATTTCAATCTGATCATTAGCTGGACTAGTGATCCATGTGAGGACTTCCTAACTACTGGTGTTAGCCAGCAGCACATACAGTGGGATTCCCTTTGCTTCGTTTCTTTATTCTATTTTTGATGTCAAGCATATCACAATTTATTGTCCGGAATTTTATGTTTCTGAAGGAAATCAGCAAAGTCTCACATTTTGGGTGACACCTAGTTGTGCCATTCTCATGATGAAGTAAGAACCTGGCGAACCTTTAACCAGAAATGATTATGTTTGTTAAAAGTCTCCTTCATTATATCTGTTAACCAAGTATAGTGTCAAATATTACCGTGTAAATAAGATGAACATATTCATGAAACTGTATGTATATTTGAAATATGAAGTGCATTAAAACACGTCTTTTTATTGTAATAATTCTCATTGCACAAATTTCGTAGCAAACCTATTCTCAGTCTAGTATACGGATTTAAGCACCAAATATTTCATATTATCTACTTAAATCGAAAATAAGTAGTTAACTATCCTTTTCAAAATTGTCTTATTTTGTGTTTCTGAAGGATTGTCGAAGAAAATTCAGGTGAGTATCATTATTTAATAGGTATTACTATTGCTATATTATTCTTATTTTGAATGCTTAAATTGACATTCAATTTTCATAAATAAGTCAATTATCTTCATTCCCCCCCATCTGATCTGCATTCAGTCACGTAGAAGATCATAAGTTTTACGGGGGTCTTATGAACATATATATCAACAGGCCCACGGCTTCTTGTCCATTCATTCCTAAATATTAATATTTATAAAATGCACGATAATGTTGCATTCGTTAGCAAATCGTATCCTCGCCTGGTTAACTAGTTTACTAGTTACTAGCCGGTCCTAAGCCCGGGTAAAGAGGGAAGGTTGGGCATAGGGCTAGCAACCCTACCCCGTAAAACAAATCTAACCGCTAAAGAAACTTCAAAGCACAAACAAAATATAAAAAATGAAAACAAACTTATTCCCCGCTGGAATCGGAGAGGCGAAATGACGCCAGTTGGTGAAAGCCTTCGGGAAGCCAATTGGCCGATGTGTCTTCTCTCGATGAAAGCGAAAGTAAACGTGGGGACATGGAATGTCCGCACGATGTTTGAACCCAGTAAGGCAGCCCAGATTGCAAAGGAGATGAGAAGGTATAACATCGAAGTGCTTGGGATTTGCGAAAGCAGATGGAATGGGAGTGGACTCTCCAAACTGTCAACTGGAGAATCAATAATCTACTCCGGTCACCCAGACGCCAACCACGAGCACACTGAGGGAGTGGCTATCATGATGTCCTCAAGAGCATCGAAGGCTCTCATGCAGTGGGAACCAATCTCCTCCAGGATCATGACAGCAAGATTCAACTCAAAAGGAAGAAAGGTCACAATCATACAATGTTATGCACCTACAAATAATGCAGAGCAAGAGAAAAAGGAGGAATTCTACAGACAACTTCAATCAACACTGGACAAGACGTCAGTTGGCGATATCAAAATTCTAATGGGCGACATGAATGCCAAACTGGGAGGGGACAACACGGGAAGAGAACTAACCATGGGTCGAGAGGCGCTAGGTGAAATGAATGAGAATGGAGAATTGTTTGCAGAATTCTGTGCATTCAACGATTTGGTGATTGGAGGCAGTGTGTTCAGGCACAAGGATATCCACAAAGCGACATGGACTTCACCAGATGGACACACTAAAAACCAAATCGACTTTATCTCAATCTCAAGAAAATGGAGACGCAGTCTACTTAACACAAGGTCAAGAAGAGGAGCAGATGTAGGTTCAGACCACTATCTAGTGCAAGGAACCTTCCAAATCAAGTTAAAAGCCTTCAAGGAAGCTGGTGATAGACCTCAATTCAAGTACAACACTCGGAAACTGAAGGATGAAACTACAAAGGAGATCTTCAAAGCAGCCATCAAGACAAAATGGGAGACGTCGAGGGACATCCCTGAAGAAACCTGTGTAGAAGAACACTGGAAGTCTTTGAAAGCTATGTGGAAAGAAACCTGCACAACAGTATTAGGAAGGAAGAAGAAAGAAGACAAGGAATGGATCTCGACGGATACCTGGAAGCTGATAGAGGAGAGGAGGATGGTGAAGCAGAAGATAAACCAGTGCAAGGATGCTCAACGACAAGAGGAACTGAGCACAATGTATAAAACACTGGATAAAGAAGTGAAGAAGAGTGCACGCAAAGACAAACGACACTTCTACGACACACTGGCAAGTGAAGCAGAACAGGCTGCAGGTAAGAGAGACCTGACGACATTGTATCAAATAACCAGGTTGCTATCAGGGAAGAGACCAACACAGATGAAACCAATAAAAGATGAAGAAGGAAATTTAATTACAAAAGAAGAGAAACAGAGGAAACGATGGGCCGACCACTTCAAGAAGCTCTTGAATCGACCACCACCTGCACTTCGTCCAGAAATACCACCTGCAGCCGCTGAATTACAAGTGAACATAAATCCCCCAACGAAAATGGAAGTCCTGAACGCCATAAAGCTACTGAAATGCGGGAAAGCAGCAGGACCAGATGGAATACCGCCAGAAGCACTGAGAACAGATGCAGAGACAACAGCGGACATGCTCACACCACTATTGCAGAAGGTGTGGAGGGAAGAGAAGGTACCTGACGATTGGAAGAAGGGTTACCTTGTCAAACTGCCGAAGAAGGGAGACCTCAGTGCTTGCAAGAACTGGCGCGGAATCACTCTCCTATCCACCCCAAGTAAAATATTAAGCCGCATCATCCTGGAGAGGCTTAAAGACGCACTGGATTCAAAACTGCGACCGGAACAGGCAGGCTTCAGGAAGTACAAATCATGTGCTGACCAAATTGCAACGCTTCGTATCATCATAGAACAGAGCGTAGAATGGCAATCAGCTCTATACCTCAACTTCATCGACTTTGAGAAGGCCTTTGACAGCGTCGACCGAGAAGTAATTTGGAAACTGCTTCAATACTACGGAGTACCGCAAACCTTTATCCGCCTCATTCAACAACTATATGAAGATGCCACATGCCAAGTAATCCACAATGGGAAGCTCAGTGATGCCTTTGAAGTGAAGACAGGAGTGAAACAAGGTTGCCTACTATCCCCCATGATATTCCTTATTGTGGTGGACTGGATCATGCAGCAAACAGTAGGCAGCGAGAAGAGGGGGATACACTGGACGACGGAAAAGAACCTAGAAGACTTGGATTTCGCCGATGACTTATGCCTAATGTCACATAAACTTGAAGATCTGCAGGCAAAAACTAACAAGTTGACAGAAGAGGCAGCTAAGACGGGACTTCAGGTGAATATAGAGAAGACAGAAGTGATGAAGATACCGCACCACCACCATCAACAACAACAACAAACTCCAATCACCGTCAACGGGAGAAACTTGAAGGAAGTAACCTCCTTCACTTATCTAGGAAGCACTGTTTCAACTACAGGCGGGACGGACGAGGACGTCAAAGTCAGAATCGGAAAAGCAAGACAGGCGTTCATTAGCCTGAAACCAGTGTGGAGATCTTCTGCACTCAGCATGCGGAACAAGATACGGATTTTCAACACCAACGTCAAGTCAGTGCTCTTGTATGGCTCAGAGACTTGGCGCGTCACGAAAGGCATTTCCAATAAACTACAGACATTCATCAACAACTGCTTACGCTCGCTGCTGAAGATCAGATGGCCAGAAAAAATAAGCAACAAGGAACTCTGGGAACGAACCAACCAAGAACCTATCACGCAACAAATATGCAGGAAGAAGTGGAGATGGATTGGCCATGCACTGAGAAGGCCGACTGAGGACATCACGCGTCAGGCCCTCGAGTGGAATCCCCATGGGAAGCGACGAGTTGGACGTCCGAGGGTGACATGGAGGAGGTCATGCGAGGAGGAAATGAGAGCTTCTGGGCTGTCGTGGAACCAGGTTCAAAAGATCTCAGAGAACAGAGGTCACTGGAGGCGTGCTACTGAAGCCCTATGTTCCACTAGGAACCCAAGGGACTAATAATAATAATAATCCTTTGTATTTAGTATTTGAGTATTGAATCAGTCATTATGTTCGTGGTTAGCCTTCTAATATACATTAAAACGATATTAATGTGTTCCATTAGTGTAAATAAGACAGTGTTACGTTGTGATATTCACTGAACTATAGCCTCTATATGTTTGAAAACTTTTGGCATTTAGAAAAAATCTGTTTGTTTTACATTTTTCACCGATGACATTAATGAAGTAATTTCTATGTTTGTTAACAGGCTAGTCACATAACTTTGAATAGATGTGACAGAAATTTCACCAACTGTAGATTGTTTCTAAGCATCTTAGAAACCTGTACATCAACTGAAAGTCTATTTGATTTACTATACATTTTTCACTTGGTAATGTAAACTGCTACTATACGGCTTGTCTACACACTGATTTATAGATTAATAACAAACGGTAATCTGTATTCTGAATGCTTCAGGTGTGAGTGAGTTGATGAGTAGTTTTCGTCTCAAATGCAAAAAGTTCATTAGGCATTTGCGACACTTGCAGCACTTGTGGGATGCATGAATGCAACAAACTTGAAGATCTACAGACGAAAACTAACAAGTTGACAGAAGAGGCAGCAAAGATGGGACTTCAAGTGAATATAGAGAAGATAGAGGTGATAAAGATACCCAACCAACACCAACAACAAGCTCCATTCAACGGGATAAACCTAAAGGAAGTAGCCTCTTTCACCCACCCTCCTAGGCTGCACTGTTTCATCTACACGCGGCACACACGAGGACGTCAAAACCAGCCAGGGTCAGAAAAGCAAGATAAGCGTTCATTAACCTGAAACCAGTATGGAGATCTGCACTCAGCATAAAGCGTGAACAACATACGGATTTTCAACACCGACGTCCATCATGTCAGTGCTGCTATATGGTTCAGAGACTTCGCGCGTTACGAAAGGCATTTCCAACAAACTACAGACATTCATCAACAACTGTCTACGCTGGCTCACTACTGAAGATCAGATGGATTGCCAGAATAATAAGAATAAGCAACAAGCAACTCTGGCTGGCTGGCAACGAACCAACCAACAACCTATCACTCAACAAACATGCTCTGGAAGGAAGTGAAGACAGATTGGGCATACACTGAGAAGGCCGACTGAGGAAATCACGCGTCAGGCCCTCAAGTGCAACTCAGATGGAAAGCGACGAGTTGGGCGTTCAAGGCGAGGGTGACATGGAGGAGATTGTGCAAGGAGGAAATGAGAGTTTGTGGGCTGTCGTGGAGCCAGGTTCAAAAGATATCTGAGGACAGAGCGCATTGGAGACGTGCTGTTGAAGCCGTATGTCCCATTAGGAACCCAGGGGACAAATAATAATAGTCTACTATACAGCTATGAGATACCGTTTTAGGCCATTAACGACGGGATTCAGTCGATACTATAGCCTCGAAACACCACTTATTTACTGAAGTCAAGTTAACGGACGCAAATTTCTTACCCCAAATGAACTAAAGTGCCGAGTGTTCAGTTATTATCTGCCTCAATGAGCGATACTGATTGTATTTGGAGTAGTACTTTATTCAACCAGTCCTTCTTTCAGTGCATTTCAGTATATTGTCATTGTAGATGATTTCTCTGTATTTGTCTTTTTAAGATGTAGCAACTAGAAATGAAGGATTTAGATTTGTTTCCTAATTTTGTGCATCTAGTGTTGGGCGAAATTCTCCTCTCTTAGGAAGACAGGAGTAATTTGAAAATCATTTTGACTATCGTGTTTCGTCAGACTAGTATTTATACTGAACGATGATTGAAGGTGAAATGGAAATTTGGACCGCTACCTGATTCAAACCAGTGACCACCGGTTAGGACATCGGGCCGGAAACCCGGTGGTCGTTGGTTCGAATCCGACAGCGGTCCAAATTTTCATCTCACCTTCAATCATCACCCAGTTAAAATATTAGTCTGCCAGACCTTGGCTATCTCAGATGATAGTCAAAGTGATATTCAATATGATGCTCCCCCCTCTCCAATTCAGTTAGATTTGAACTGGGATGAGAGGTCCTGACTAGGCAGCCAGTGTGAATACGACCAAGCGGTAGTAACGCATCATGAATTCACTTGATAGTCGGGCAAAACCCATGATGATTGAAGTGAAATAAAATTCTGGTCAACAGTTGGACCTCGTAGCTCAATTGGTAGAGCATGTTACCGGAAGTCCTTCGTATAAAACGGATTTAATAAATATGACTTGGTCAGCATAAAAATCAGTTCATATTTATTCATTTTCGCTTATTCACTACTATCTGTTTCTTCATCACTCAATAGAAATATGTTATTGCAGCTACGCAACCTGATTGTCATTCCTCTTATATTTATAACCTTGATGTAACTTGCAAGATTATGCATTAATATGACACTTCATTTCAAGCAACTAGTTAGCGTAATTGTCTTGTAAAGATAAGGTATGACTATTAGTTAAAAACTTTCAAAGTTCTTCTAATTTTATGGTCATCATTGTCATATGTCTGAAAGTGAAATCACTGTCGTATAATTTGATGGCACTAACCAAAGAGATATTAATTTGCAGTTGATGCTAAGCGCCAATAAGCATGAATCTGTGGTCTAGTGGAAAATTTTCTGCTAACTTATTCAAAGTGTCAAACATAAATCTGAGTGTTCATTTATACTTAAATGTGTTCATTTTATATACCAGTTTTGAATTAATTTTTTCTCATCCCAATTCTAATATCACATTTCATAATTTAGCACATGATGCCCATTCTAAAACAGATGAAAGCACTGTTCTCCCTAAAGAGCCGGTTGCCAAAGAAGACTCAGGAAAATTGACATCAGAAAACCCTGTGGATGGGGATAACGATCAGAAGTCAGCTGATGTACCTGAGGATGCAGATGAAAGCGATGATGAGAGTGCAGATTTTGACCCTGTAGTTGGGCTTGAAGAAAGTGAAGATGAGGAAGAGGAGGGTGAAGAGGAAGAAGATGAAGAGGAAGACGATGAAGATGAGGATGATGATGATGAGGATGACGACGACGACGACGAAGTAACTAGCTTTTCCATACCAGGCTCTGTGGCAGACACTGAAGAATCAGAGCCTGGAATTGACAGTGGGACAACTGCATGTGTTGCTGTTCTTGTACCACTTAACGGAGATGTTTATTTGTATGTTGCTAATGCAGGAGATTCACGAGCTGTACTCTGCCGTGGTGGTGCTGCAGTCGAATTATCAGTGGATCATAAACCAGAAGACGAGGATGAGAAAGCCCGGATTTTAGCAGCCGGTGGAACTGTTACACGAGATGGTCGAGTTAATGGCGGTCTCAATCTTAGTCGAGCCCTTGGTGATCACAGCTATAAGGTAGGTAGTATGTACATTTACTGTTGAAACTTTGCAGAAAGTAACTGAATGGACATAGACATGGTTATTTTATTTTCAATCTTATGCATTGAATTATCGTTCTTGAATTACTCCAAAGTTACTATTGTATTCATTGAAACAATGTCTAGTGATAAGAGTTCAATCCATGTTGAGACGGAAGACATGTTATAAAAAAAAGCAGAAACCGTAACATTTATTCACTTGTTTCAAATTTCCTCCAGGGTAGTAAAACTGGTCTTATTTCCCAAGTGGTGATGGCTGACAGTAAAATCATCAACCCGGAAATTATAAGCAACACAAAGTGTATGAAATGATACTCGTTGCACAAGAAGTGACTCTTTTAGCCTAGTGGATAACGGTCTGGTGTTCGAATTGATTGACACTTTGTTCGAATGAGAACACCACTACTCATTGGGATACAGGCATATCCCCCTTTTGTGAGTCCCTAATAGAAAGAAATGCACGTCTTGCATTCCACTGGTGGTAACTAGAGCGAAACAAATAATATTAAAGGTTATTTTATTTAATAGTTTCTTTAAAATGTCTTTTTTTATATAATAAACTTGTTTTTATTTTGTTACAGCAAACACCAAATATCCCTTTGACTGATCAAATGATTACTCCCTCTCCAGATGTTACTGAAATCAAGTTAGTCCCATCAGCAGACGAATTCCTGGTAATTGCATGCGATGGAGTATGGAATTCAATGACAAGTCAAGAGGTTGTCGAATTTATCCAGGATCGTTTACATCCTCCAACTACAAATGATAGTTTTAACACAAATAGTCACTCAGATACTAATGAAAAGAATGGTAGTATCGACGCATTGAGTTCAACTGATAAACTATCAAAGATTTGCCATGAAGTAAGGCTGATATTTAATTATATTTATAAATAAAGGATAACCCGATCTTTAATTTCATGAAAGATGCATATCCTAGGTGAAATCACTAACACTTAATGTTTTTTGGGTTGTCGTCTGCAGTAATCATCCAAGATTTAATCGGTCACTGAGTTTTTACTTTTCGAATTCTATACTGATAACTTGTAGTCTGGGCTACAATTAATGGCAGCATCGCTAACATTCTCTATGATTTCAGTAATAATTGTTTATTTCTCGCATTTATTTAGTCAAATGCACCACTCATCTTCTTTCATTTGACAACATTCCTTTTACAAAGCATTCATCTCTTCGACTCCATGCATAAATCAATGAGTCTGTTTATACAGTGTTGGTCAATGTAACTAACTAACTAACTGACAGACAGACACAATCCTCGTTAACTACTAATTAAATTTGGAAGTTGTGTAGGTTGCTGGATGGAGACACTGATAAAATATAGGGTCTTCTGAACACGTTGAGCACAAGTTTGAGTATGTTTAGCAGGCATTTCACACTTGTCAAATGTAAGATGATGAATGCTTCATGACTGATAATACACTGCAAGCACTCACAGTGTAATGATATGGAGTGAAGTGAAGTGAAGTGGTGGGATGTGTCGATCACTTCACATGCCTGGGGAGTTGCATCAGCCCGAACGGACTGGTTGCTGATGAGATCTCAGCTCGGATAGTGAAGGCGTGTTTCGCATTTACCAACTCGCGCCACCTGTGGCTCTGACTAGCGAGATGTCTGACTATCTATCTGTCTATCTATCAAGAGACAAGAATACGGTGTTGCAGTCAATTCTACTCTGCTACACAGTTGTGAGACATGCTCGGTGAAAGTAGAAGACATGAAGTGGTTACAGGGTTTCGATCACAGATGTCTTCGTAACATTGTTCGCCTATCCTCGAATCACCACATGCACAATGTCGAGCGAGGTGAGGAGAAGGATACTAGGTAAAACAGGCCAGCAATTCGATTGTTGAGTTTGGAAATCTTCGTCGACTGAGGTGACGTGGATGGGTATGTGTTACACATGCTGAACCACTGACCACCTCGACGTGACATACTAGGAGAAGTTTTATTATGTTGGAAGATGGTTCAGGGTGATGTCAGATCAAAATGATGTATCACCAGTCGATGAAGTCTCCTACTGTTGGTCTGAGTTGTGTAGGTTGATGTAGACTGCCTGGTTGGAGTGTCTGAGAATATTGAAATGAGTTGTTGAAGACTGTTTGTGACATGGCTGAAAAGCCTGTGTACTACTGTGAAGTGTGGTACCTTGACCTAATACATTTGTGTTTGAGATCGTTCATTGGTTTTATCAAATCAATCAGTCAGTTAATGGACGACAGTTTTATATAATATGAAACATATGCCAAATGGAGTTCATGTTAGTGCTTTTTCATCAAGTTTCTGTTTACATACCTATTTTTTGTAGAATTTTAAGTTATATTCGATCTAATGAAAATGTGTTATGATCACTGCTTCATCTTTATTATTACTACGTGTGAATTATATTAAACTCGAAATTTGTCTAAATGCATACATATCCTGTAGTATCTAAACTATAAACTAGAAATTGTATTTGATGATGTATTCTTATCATCTGATACAACAAGGTATTTCTACAACTTTAAGTAGACTTTTGCTGATACTCGCTGTTTATTCTTGTAGTTAGTAATACTACCATTGATTAATTTTGTTTATCATTAACTTCTGCAGATTCGGCAACAATATAGTAGTAGTCTTTAATGCCTGAAGGTTGATAAAGATTGAATAATTTAGTTACTGTATTGAAGTCAAAATGTTCTTCTCCTTTAAAGAATTGTATCTACGTGCTGCTTGCTCACTTTCCGCCTTCAGTGTACTAATCATTTAATATCTAGCATATAAATAGATAAATAAACTATATTTACTTCGACCTGTTATGCTATGCGGCTTTCATGTATTTTTGTGAGAGAGAGTAATTGAGTATTTACTTACAAGTTCTTACATCGTAACTTCCTGTGCAAATACTGAGTAAGGAACGTTCAAGTTTCTTTCAGGAGGGATGTGTAGAGAATAAATACTTGACAGAATGGTTAATTACTCAATTTCCTAGATCACTAAAATGTTTGCTTTGAAAGGTACTTGTATCTGAAGTACTAGTCACAACGGAAGTCAATACTCATTGAATCTTTACCAACCAGAGCAGTTGAAAAGTGTCAACTTCTTTCGTACTGAAGTTTTTGTGATGATTACAGCTTTCCGAAGGCTTTCTGAAATAAACGCTACATTATATTATTATTATTATTTTCCCCTTGGGTTCCTAGTGGAACATAGGGCTTCAGTATCACGCCTCCATTGCATTCTGTTCTCTTCAGTCTTTTGAACCTGACGTCACGACTGCCCACAAGCTCTCATTTCTTCCTTACATGATCTCCTTCATGTCACCCTCAGCTGGGATACCCAACTCATCGTTTCCCATTTGGATTCCACTCGAAGGCCTCGCGCTTAATGTCCTCAGTTGGAAAATACTACATAGTGATTAGATTTTGCCCAACTCCTTTCCAAATCAAATTTTGCACTCATAATAATGATGAGTGTAGGTGAACACAAAACTCTTATTTTTATATAATTACGTCTAAATAAGATCGCTAATTAGCTTCATTGTCAGTGATTCCTTCTAATTCTTTTCCTTTTTCCTCTTTATCACTTAGATTTTCGATCATTGTTTAGCCCCGAACACAGATGGTGATGGAACAGGCTGTGACAATATGACGTGTGTTATAGTTCGTTTTGATGATCTTCCTGGATGGGTTGAACACTATCCAAAGAACTCTTCAACTAATATAGTGTCACCACGAAAACGACCATCTTCTCGTAGTGCTGAAGATAATAATAATAATAATAATGACAATGATAGTGATGATGAATTAGTCAACAATGATAATGCTGTCAACGGAACAAATTCGGTTTCATCGGTAAATCAAACAATGTCTAAACGACCACGATTAGCATTTTCTAATCCTGAAGATTCACTCCAAGGTCTTATTATGAATGGATCTGACAATGGTGTGACTAACACTACTACCACTTCAATCAGTAGTGAATAAAAGAATGTCTATATATATATATATTTTTTGCACAACATTTTATGCATTCAATCAGTTAATTATCTACTGATGATGAATAAGAATTTTTCGTGTAGTTTGCAAAGTTACTATAATTTGTTTATTCCAATGGTTTTTATTACTATGTTTCTGTTTGTTTGTTTTTTTTTGCATCATTTAAAAGGTTATCAATTTTTTATGTATGTACTATAAAAAGGTGCATTTAATAATCATGTTACTAAGATTAGTTATATCTGTTAGGAGGATTTCTGTATACCGATTGTATGAATGAAGATAACAATGTACACGTTCACAGCAGGTTGGGTAGAGATATATATATATATATATATATATGTAAATGTCTTAAATCACACACGAAAAAAGTTTAATTGTAAAGTGTTCTTTGATTGATGAAAATTGTTTGTTTGTTTTTTCTGTTGTAGTATAATGAAATTAACTTTCCTTTTTTCAAATACTGCGCCTTTATAGTTATTTCTACTGTTCATTTTTCTCTATGCCTATTCCACTATATATTACTGAGTATTAAACGCACATGCATACATCTCTTTATCTCTTCTCTTCTCTTCTCTTTGTAATCGTTTTCCTTTTTGTTATACTGTGTCTACTTGTAAACTTAATTGTATGACTTGTGTTAGTGGAATTGGTTAAACTTCATTTCCTTCTCTCTGTAACTATCATTGCGAACATACAATATATATATATATATATATATATATATATATATATATATATATATATATATATATATATATACACGTTCAGATTTTATTCCTAACTGTCATTGTTTAATTCATATGGTGTGCTTGTTAACGTCTTTAGGATATTGCTCAAAATCAACCATTTTACTAATGTGTATAATGATAACATATAAGATATTTTAACCCCTTGATTGTGTTTATCTTTATGTATGAACCTGTAACCTGTCTATTTGTTTATCAATCCTACGGATACAGAGTTGTATTCAGTTGATGAATAAACATTCTCTTTTTATCATAAATTAGACGTATTTTTGAAATTCTGTGTAATCTTTTGGTGTTTAACTTTTTTTTCTTTATTAACGTACTAATGGATAATAACCGCGAAGTTGTCTCCTACTTAAGAGAGATTGACCTACTTTTTAAAGGACTCGTGGTTGATTTGGAGTGCACAGACGAAGTAGGATTAGATTGGAAGAAAGCTCACTGTGAATAGACTGTGACGTGACATCGGTTCATGAAGTGTTTATCCGCTGGTCTCAGCTGTATAGACTGCTTCATTTGGGTCCTTGGGTTGATTGGAATCAACGATTGGGACACCCTTGATGGTCATAGTGGCGCAGATGTTGTCACTCACTGATGTCTTCTAAAGCTTGAATGTTTTCACTAACCTTCATTTATTCCTCCTATACACACTTGTGTCTACTTTGATATCAGTCTTTTTCGATGCACTCGTTCTTCGCATGCTGCAGTAAAGTGAGGCAGCTTCGAGTGATACACTTCTGTGGGACGGATTATGTTGATATTTCTGTCTTTCTGGTGTAAAGGGTATAAACGGCATTTTATAAAAGGCAACAGCGTTACTGTATTATTATCGCTGATATCTCCATTACTTTACAGTGTTTTCATTTCACCTGGATAACTGTTGTGAGTTGTCGACATGACTTGAATGTGTTTTGTTCGTATATTGTATGTATTTTGCTCAGTCAGACATTGCTAATGCCAATGTTTGGTGGGGTTTAGAAAACGGGTTACTGAGTAAACCAGTTGACTTTCAACAGTGGATTCATTTCCGATGTATTTATCAGTAGTGATGAGAGAAGCGACTTGTGTAGAATACTATGATTTTCATAGCTGTGTACTCAGTGAACCTTGTAGGGGGGAATATCAGTGTTCGGTACGCGATCTTTGAAACTGTTCATGGGTACTTCGTAAGTGCGTTTCTTGGACTTGAGCACAACTATTGGTCTTTGGAGTACTGTTTGCGTACTCAAAGCAGTAATCAAAAGAGGTTGCATGGAACGTTTGACCCATTGATTGTAACATTTAACGGATAGAGTAGAAATATTTCTCTTATCTGCGAATTCTGCATCCGTTATAAACCCACTTGCAGTGCACATACAGAAGCTCAATATCAAAATATGCATCACTAACCTAAATACTTGAAGATGGTTAATCTAATCGAGATCTGACAAAATCTGTGTTCATCTTTGCTACCACTGTGAAGTGTGGCAACTTAAGGTGATGCACCTATGTGCGAGGTTTTGTAAGTCCGTCAATGGTCTTTGTCAGATGTTTGGGGTGAGTCGACAGGAAGTTTTGGACCTAGGTTTCCTGCTTGTTCGCACTCTTGAGCAAGCCGCAACTGTAACCGTGAGAAGACTGATTCATTGGATGGTGTAAGCATCCATCATTCAGAGCCGAAGTCAAAGACTCAAGAACTAAGGTATTCGGGCCATGACCCCATTGTTAGACTGAAGTAGTTCAGTCCTAACTGCGCATCGCTTCCGGAACTTTGTCAATCACATTTGAGGTGTGGTCATTCACGAGTAACCGGTTGATATTTCCAATCACTCAACAATACATTATATGCTCAATCCGCAATCATAAACGAACCAAACTGGATTGCAGAACTAGTGTTTCCCACTTTATTCAAGAGTATTTGGTTGACAAAATACGTGCCAAAAATAGTTAAATAACTTTCTTGCCTAAGTAATTTCATTTGTTGCTTTGAACGTTAGCTATCCTTTGCTATCTACGAATAATTAACATACTATTCTCATCAACACTAAACAGTTTAGAACCTGAATAGGTGACTGGTGACAACAAAAAGTGACGCGAACATATTCGAGCTACTCACGAGTAGAATATGTTCTTGAGCAAAATTTTGGTTGACTAGCCGTAAATGATCGTGATAGAAATGATGTGCGAAGTACTACACATTCAATTTTCGGAGATTACTGAAATCTAAAAGGATCTGTATTTTGTACTTTTGTATTATATGAACTGGATGGCTAGGAAGTTTTAGTTGGCATTCCAGGCAACAGTATTAGCATAAACCTTGTTAGGGTATAAGTCAGTATTATGAGTGACTGACAAAATCAACATAGAACCTGGCACACAAGCGCATCGGCTCTAGGTACCACACTTCACAGTAGTACACAAAGTACAGGTGGATAGAAAAAGACTGGTATCAAAGTAAATAAAGTTGTGTGAGACAAACAGTAATTTGAAGATGAAAGTCAGTGCGAATATTCAAGTTTAAGACGACTTCAAGGAGTGAACACCTCTGTGTACCTCTGTACAGTCTTCAACAACTCATTTCAATATTCTCAGACACTCCAACCAGGCAGTCTACATCAGCCTACACAACTCAGACCAACAGTAGGAGACTTCATCGACTGGTGATACATCATTTTGATCTGACATCACCCTGAACCATCTTCCAACATAATAAAACTTCTCCTAGTATGTCACGTTGAGGTGATCAGTGGTTCAGCATGTGTAACACATGTCCATCCACGTCACCTCAGTCGACGAAGGTTCCCAAACTCAACAATCGAATTGCTGGCCTGTTTTACGTAGTATCTTTCTCCTCACCTCGCTCGACATTGTGCATGTGGTGATTCGAGGACAGGCGAACAATATTACGAAGACATCTGTGATCGAAACCCTGTAACCACTTCATGTCTTCTACTTTCACCGACCATGTCTCACAACTGTGTAGCAGAGTAGAATTGACTGCAACACCGTATTCTTGTCCCTTGATAGATAGATAGTCAGACATCTCGCTAGTCAGAGCCACAGGTGGCGCGAGTTGGTAAATACGAAACACGCCTTCTCTATCCGAGCTGAGATCTCGTCAGCAACCAGTCCGTTCGGGCTGATGCAACTCTCCAGGCATGTGAAGTGATCGACACATCCCACCACTTCACTTCACTTCACTCCATATCATTACACTGTGAGTGCTTGCAGTGTATTATCAGTCATGAAGCATCCATCATCTTACATTTGACAAGTGTGAAATGCCTGCTAAACATACTCAAACTTGTGCTCAACGTGTTCAGAAGACTCTATATTTTATCAATGTTCTCCATCCAGCAACCTACACAACTTCCAAATTTAATTAGTAGTTGACGAGGATTGTGTCTGTCTGTCAGTTAGTTAGTTAGTTTTTTACATTGACCAGCACTGTATAAACAGTCTCATTGATTTATGCATGGAGTCGAAGAGATGAATGCTTTGTAAAAGGAATGTTGTCAAATGAAAGAAGATGAGTGGTGCATTGGACTAAATAAATGCGAGAAATAAACAATTATTACTGAAATCATAGAGAATGTTAGCGATGCTGCCATTAACTGTAACGCAGACTGCAGGCTAGCCATTGTCATATTTCAGTACGATGCATCCTTAAGATGGCATGTATTTAGCGTCTTTATGTAGCAAGGCGATACAGTCTGCATGCTTCATGTCATCCAGATTTCCTCCATGGAGCAGTTCAGTAACTGTGAACTCATAGGCACCTGTGCTTCTGTTCATTTGTAAGTCTACTGCGCAGTTGCTTATGGATGGTGACACCGAGGATCCTTGGCGAACAGCGCAACTTGTGGTCGGTTCTGATGACAACTCTCTATAAGCTCGGACACGGCTGCGTGAATTCGAGTAGAGAATGCTTTAATATGCACTACATACTTGCTCGGTATTCACTTCACAGTTAACGGAGTTAAACAGTCTTATGATCAAATGCTGCCTTCATGTCAAGAAATATGACAAGTGTCGGACGGTGGTGGTATGCTTGCATTCCAGAATTTGTCGGTAGATAAAACTATGAGCGATGCACCCTCGTGTAGGTCTGAAACCTCCCTGGTATTTTCCAGTTTGTTTTTCTCGAGCTCCAGTTAGTCGTCGGATAAGTAAAGTCCATAGGGTCACAAGAAAACTTCTGTCCCTTCTTATTGACTGGAATGGTCGGTGAAGTACATCAATCTGACGGAACTACCCGTGATTTCCATACACTACCTAGTTCCTCCCTTATTCTAATTGGCGATTTCCTACCTCCATCCTTGAAAAAATTCATGTGGCAAACTATCAGGTCCTGCTGCTTCGCATCGTTTCAGGTTCTATATAGCCTTCTCAACTCTGAGAGATCTGGAGTACCGAAACCTGCGTCCCATTCAGGCTCCAGCTGGATTTTGAACAACTGAAGCGTTGATGAGGGCCTGTTGAACTGCACTCCAGTGTTCTGCCCAGCCTTCTAGCCGTTTGTCTTATGACGTTATCACTGTCCCATCCTTTTCGGTGATGGTTTCATTGGTCATCGTCTTCTTGTCGGTATCCTTAAAAAGCCCAAATATATGT